TGCAATGACAAAAACTTGTTCAACACTTGCTTGAAAGTTAATAATCTAGAAGATGTTTTGATGGGAAATCATGTTATAGCTATAGTTGAAGGAAAAAGGATTGTCGAGTTAAATTTACTTATAGACAGAAGCTGACATTATCAATATATTCGGGAAGAAGAATTTAGTTTTTGCTAGTTTACTTCCAAAGAAAGGTTTTAAAGTTGTAATAGAATCTGATAATGTAATAGTATCCAATGATGACCTATTCGTAAGAAAAGGATACTTTTATAATGACAAGTTCAATATTGACGAAATAAATATGATTTCTAGTTATACTGTGGAGTCTAATTCCTTATGGTATGATAGATGAAGACATTTAAATTTTTTCTCAATGAGATTTATGTCTAAAAATGATTATATTGCATGCAAACATGAGCACTTAGAAAAATATGAAGCATACAAGCAAAAATGACAAAGAAACTTTTTCGTAGTGTGGAAAGAAATTCACAATTATTAGATATTGTGCATTGTGATATATGCAAATTAAATAGAAAATTAACTAGAGAAGGAAAGAGATATTTTATAACTTTCATAGATGACTATTATATGTTTATTTATATTTATTTAATTAAAACAAAAGATGAAGCTTTTCAAAAATTTAAAGAATATAATTCTGTTGTGAAAAATTGAAAAGGTAGGAAAATTAAAATTTTTAGAAGTGATACAGAAGGATAATATTTTTCTATAGAATTTAATAATTTATATGAATAAAATTGTTTGATACATAAAAAAGTGTTCCTTATTGACCACAACAAAATAAATTAGCTGAAAGGAAAAATAGAACTTTGGTTGACAAGACAAATACTATGTTATTGAATACACATTTATTGCACAATTTATGGGATGTAGCTTTATTAACAGCATGTCATATATTAAATAGTGTTTCTTCCGACTATAAAATGGAAAAAAATGAAACTTAAAATATCTTAAAGTGCGAAGGTACTTGGTCTTTTATAAAATTCCTAAATTGTAGATAATAAAACTTGGACCTAGAGCAATGAAAGACTTTTTTGTTAGCTATACTCAACACTCTAAAGCATGTAGAATTTTATATTTACAATCAAATGTTATTGTAGAGTTTGTACATATTGAATTTATTGAAAATAAATTTTTATATAACTCTAATAATAAATTCGATTATGAACAAAATGTTTTAATTCCAAGTTGTGACTAAAGTTATATGACTTCTCATGATACATCCAGTAAAAGATAAAGCGGTGATGCTCAAATTGGGTCGAGAAGAAGTCAAAGAGTCATAAAAAGAAAGCATTTAGATTCAAATTTTGTTGACTCGTAAGCATTAACATTCATTATGAAAAGAAGTAAAACCAAAGTGTATAAAAAGATACCTATTTTGTTAAATGTTGAAAATGATTTAAAAACATCCAAAAAAGTTATTTTTTCAAGAGATGTAGCTTTTTGGAAAAAAATAATAAATAATGAAATAGATTCAATCTTATCAAACAGAACATGGGTTTTGGTTGATCTTCCTCTTAAATCAAAACCCATAGATTGCAAATGGGTATTTAGAAGGAAATATAACATAGATGATTCGGTGCAAACCTTTAAGGTTAGATTAGTTGCTAAAGGTTTCACACAAAAAGAAAGCATTAATTATTTTGATACTTATGCTCTAGTAGCAAGAATAACATCCATAAAAACAATTTTGTATTTAGCATCTATTCATAAATTACATGTATAATAAATGGATGTTAAAAATGTCTTCTTAAATGGAGGTCCTAATGAAGAAATTTATATAGAGTAACCTGAAGGTTTTATACTTCTTAGAAATGAAAGGAACCTTTATAAACTAATCAAATCTCTTTATGAACTAAAACAAACTCCAAAGCAATAGCATGAAAAGTTTGATAGTACTACATAATAATGTAAATAAGTGTATTTACTCTAAATTTATAAAAGACTTTGGTGTAATCATACGTTTTTGTGTAGATGATTTGTTGATCTTTGGTACAAATATGCTCAAAATTGTTGAAACTAATAAATATTTAACTTCAATTTTTAACATGAAAGATTTTAATAAAGTTGATACAATCTTGAGAATTAAAATCAAAAGATATCAAAATGTGATTTCAAAGAGTTTAATACTCCTTATAATTGTAGTATAAAATTGACTAAGAGTTGTGAAAGAGTTATGGCACAATTAAAATATGCAAGTGTCATAGGCAGCATAATGTATGTTGCACATTATACCAAATCGGATATAACCTTTGTCATTTGCAAACTTTCAAAATTTATAAGTAAACTTAACAAAGATCATTGGAAGGCTATCACTAGAATACTTGGATATTTTAAAAAATAAAAAATATAGAAATTCGTTACAATGGGTGTCCTAATATTTTAAAAAGATTTTCTGATGCTAGTTGGATAACTAGTATTGATGACAATAAATCCACATCAGGATGGATTTTAACTTAAGAGGTGGTGCAATTAGTTTGGCACCTAAGAAGCAAACTTGTATACGCATTTTACAATGAAATATGAATTTTTAGCATTAGCAATTACAGGAAAAAAAGCAAAATAGCTGAAAAATTTATTATTAGATATACAGTTGTGACTACAATTGATGCCAGCCATTTTCATATATTGTGATAGTGAGGCTATAGTGTGTGTAGCTCCTAGTAAAATTTAGAATGAAAAGTCTAGACATATAAGTCAACGACATGCCTAAAGAGAATTAATCTCAAATGGCATTTGAACAATAGTTTAGGTTAAATCTTGCAAGAATTTAGTTGATCTACCTACCAAAACTTTAACCAAAGAGGCTATAAAATCAACTTCTAGTAGAATGAGGTTAAAACCTCTGACTTAAAAACACTAGTAATGGAAACCCAACTTTGAATTAGTAAAATTAATAATAAAAGTTAAATAGGTAATAACAAGCTACCATATGTTATTATTATATATTGAATTTTTTATATTAAATAACCTCACTTTAGAATTTTCAAATAGTCTCATTCTAGATTATTCAGTGCGATTGTTATTAGCAGAAGATGAGATTAATGGAAATGTCAAATACTTATAGTAATAGGGGCATAATTACAAATTTCACTTATATGGATATTGGAGTAGTACCACTTCAAGAGTTTAAAATGGTTTACTCTTGTAAATATTCATGAAATTAGGATTTTTTTTTTGGAAATTGAATTTATTAACCAGCCAATTGGTATGCAAAGCAAGTCTGTGGCCTTATTGGCTTGAAACTCCCAACAACGGAGTCAACTGGCTTGGGTAAAGAGGCTTGTACAATTAACAAAAGACAACCACTCCACCGACTATTAGTAGTTGTTTGGCCATGAAGGTTTAGAAAAGAAAAAACCAATGAATTGCCTCAAGACAAACATAGGCGTGAATTACAAAAGAAAAAGCTACCTAAGATACAACTAATCCTGCCTCACAAAACAAATACCCACAACCAAAAAGCAAAACCAAATTCAAACAACATAAACAACCAAGAGAAAGAACCTAAGGCACATAACATTCTTCCGCCAAATAAAACATCCCTTCTTGAATCTAACTCCATCCCTCCAAACATCAAGACAACACCATTCCACAAGCTTGCCACAGCCACAAAAACCCCCCAAACCAAGATTAGTAGAAGGCCATATAAGTGCTAAAGCAATTGGTAGAATCTTAAAGTAATTAAATAATGCTATGTGCTGTGACATTTTTAATTATGACATAAAGAGTTGTGGTTCAATTGCTGTGATACCAATAACTTCATCTTAACTTTAAAATTTTTACATTAATAGAAAGTTCAAATCTTTAATATACTTTCAACTATACATAGTATTATTAATATTACAAACTAGTGAGAGATTGTTAAATAATTTGTAATAAAATTTTCTTATTTAGATGTAATTATTTAAATTAAGTGACTATTCAAATTAAGTGACTATTCAAATTAAAACATAACTCTTAAATAAAGAGAAGTGTTTTCAAATACATTTATTGAAATACGTTTATTAATTATTCAACATTTCAACAAACACATCTTTTAAAAATTAATAAGACAACTTTTCAATATCTATAAAAGGAATATACTTTCAAACCAAACTTCATTCATGCAAAAAATTCTACAATAAACTTATTCTATCTTGACAAATAATAACATTGTTTGTAAATTCTCATAATAAGCAACAACTTTAGAAGACAGTGTATTGGAACACATATCAAGCCGTTTTTCTATTTTCTTATACTATTTTTTAACATTTATGACAATTGTTATATATATATATATTATATTAAATTTAAGATGAAAGACCCTAGTAATACTAGAAACAACCTACGGCAGGACACAAAACAAACTGAGGAAAGAGGAGCAATCATAACAGTTGACAAACAAACTGGCTAAGCTGAAATCTCCTCTTAAGAGTCCTCAACTCTTAGTTTGATTGTTGACTGGTTTATTAAATAATTACATTTGAAAAACGTGGTAATTAAAAGTCTACATACATTGAAAACGGTCATAGTTTTGAATGATCACAGTCAAAGGGTGCATCTGTCTTTAACTTATAATATTTCTTATCAGTAAGCTAAAGATAGGCATAAAGCCCAAAAGTTGGAAAACTCTAAATCTTGAAGTCCACGGCACGTGCTAACAGTCATCACGGTCACTGCAGTTCTCGAGTGAAACTAATCTCTCATGCTAAAGACAAGAACAGGGTTGGGGATTATTTGCTTAGATTTGAAATCATAACCCAGAGAATCTTTACGTGTTAAATCTTTATTCCTTCTTTAATTACGGGTAGAAGCACCCTGGAAGCAGAGTCTGTAAAAATTATGGGACCCTCCAGCGGAAATAAAATTCCACCAGGACTGACGAAAGAGATCAACTTTGGAGAGAGGATGCTTCCAGTGTCTATCCTGGAAGCTCGTGTGAAATCCCCTCTTCTTCGTTTTATCAACTATTTCTCCTCCCCTTTATATACCAACCACCACACTCCCTCTTTTCCACTCAAATCAGTCTTCTCTAGTCTCCAACCTCTATTCCCAAAGTTTCCAATTTTCACTTCCATTTCTCTCTAGAATACATAAACCGCCTCTCCCAAATGGCATCTCCTGAAGAGACATCAGCCTTGGAACTCATCAGGCAACACCTCCTGACTGATTTTGCCTCCATGGAAAACTTTCTTTCCAATCTCGATAACTGTACTTCCAGGGTCTCCGCCACCAATCAAATCCCACAATCCGTTGATACAAAAGTACCCAAGGTGCCACAGATCAATAGCCCAAACCAATTAAAGCAATCCACTCTAAGCCAGCGTCGTCCTTCTATAAACTTGGAAATTCCACCAGCAAAAGTTAACATATGCTCAAACCCAGCTCCGGTTGAATCTGACTCTAACGAGAAAAGGCACTACAGGGGTGTCAGGAGACGACCTTGGGGCAAGTTCGCAGCTGAAATTAGAGACCCTAACAGAAAAGGCGCAAGGGTTTGGCTTGGAACCTTTGACACCGCCATAGAAGCTGCAAAAGCTTATGATAGAGCTGCCTTTAAGCTACGTGGAAGCAAAGCCATATTGAACTTCCCTCTTGAAGCGGGTAAATCAAATTGCGCAGAGCCTGAGTTAACAGAGGATTCATCTTCAAGGAAAAGGAGAAGAGAGAAAGAGGAGAACGAGGAGGAAGAAAGCGTGACGAGTAAAGGGGTGAAAAGGGAGGAGGTGATGGAGGAAAAGGTGGTGATGCCGGTGACGAAGGACACGGTAACCGTGACGGAAACTGCAACGCCGGGGATATGTTTAACGCCGTCGAATTGGACGGGGTTTTGGGATAGTGAAGATATGAAGGGAATATTCAGTATCCCTCCGTTATCTCCGTTATCTCCACAATTTGGGTATTCGAGGCTTGCGGTTATGTAAGGGATAAGGCTTTGACCGGTTTCAGCCGCCGGTTACCGAAGGAGGAATAGTTTGCTGACGTGGGCGGTTGAACTATCCAAGAAAGACACCGCAAAAGGAAACTTAACTGTTAACAAAGAGAAATTATTCAAGGGGTGCGGATCAATTATTACTGTGCATAAAGTAGATTAGAGCATTAAACAAAGAATGCTTAAGCTTTTATTATTGAATTAATTGTATTTGTTCTTTTATTTGTTTAATGAAATTTGCCATCATTGTGTGTTTGAGTTATATCAATATACGTTTTCTTTATTACAAAATATGTAACAATAAATATGTAAAATTAATAATGAATTACCTACACATATGATTATGTAATATAATGAAATTATCATTTGATACCTGAAATTTAAAAATTCACAAATTAAATAATTATTAAGCTGCGGAAATACAGAACCGTGTGGCGGCCTGGTGATTGGAATTATTGCAAAGGCTTTCCCTTTCAAATTGAAAGATTAGTATTTGTTTTTTTCTTTTACTTTTCCACCAAAGAGTTTAAACTCAATTTCATTTGCTACATTTGATTCTTTTTTAGCACTTAAAAGTTTTCCGCTGTTTCATCCCATTTTCAGCAAAATGAATTTTGTTCATACTTAATCAAGAAGTGGCCTAGATGATCAAGTTAGTTGGGCAATTGTAAAACAAAAAAAAAAAAACAGAAGAATTGATCATGAAATGTAATTAAGTGCTTATCAACAAGTTATTAGTGGAAACCTTGCTAATGTATTAGTCTTATTCAACAGATCTTGGAAAATATCTGAGAGTTCCCTTGTTACATGGATACAGGGGGTAGTTCTTTCCACTATGTGGAAGAGAAAGTCCAAAGTTGCTTGAGTTCTTAGAAGGCTTCAACTTCAACTTTGTCCTATGTAGGAAGACTTAGGCTTGTTAAATCTATCTTGTCCACCATCCCTTATTATAAAATGCAGATAGTGTCCACTCTTGTGGAAACATGTAAGAGAATTGAAGCTTTATGTTGGAGATTTTTATGGGAAGAGAATTCAAATAATATGAAGGTGCATTTGATGAGTTGGAAAGATGTATGCAAGCTTAAGAATGAAACAAGTTTAGGCATTAGGTGTCCAAGAACAATGAATGATGCATTCATACTTAAAACGTGCTGGTATTTGGTTACCAAATTAGGGGCTTTATGGGTGAAATTGTTGAGAGCTAAGTATAACATGTACTCGAGTTTCATTTCGAATTGTGTAAGACGAGTTGGGGCCTTTTCTTTTTGGTCATCTGTTAGTAGACATTGGGAGACTTCTAAAACCCACATACATTGGTTAGTTGGTGACAGATGCGTGGTAAAGTTCTAGCATGATGTTTGGCTTGGAGAACGTCTCTTGAGGGAGGTAGCCAATTTGATGGGAATAGACTTGGTGGACAACAGTCGTGTAAGGGAATTTGAACTGCTGAATAGAAAGAGGGATTTGAGTCGATTAACAAGTTATTACCTATAGTGGAACTGGATTTATTACTGAACTCTCTTCCACCTATTTCTTTGACAAGGCCAGATGAACCGTATTGGGCAATTTCACCTTTTGGAAAATTCACAATAGCATCTGCTCATGAGATATTAAGAGGAGTTTTACTATTTGATGGGGGGTTAAATAGTGGGGTATGGAACTAGCATGGCAGTGGAACGACCCCTCAAAGAATAAGAACATTCCTCTTTCAATGTCTGCAAGAATGTCTATTGACTAACAAAGAAAGAGCTCGAAGACATATGGTGAATGTGATGACTTGCCCTCAATGTCAAGTTGAAGAAGAATCTACATTGCATGTTTTGCATGATTGCCCATGTAGCAAAATCAGTTTGCCTTATAAGTATTGCCTCAAAGTAATTTCGGTCTATTCCTTATTCCTAATACTTTTGATTGGAAAATTTTCAATCGAGTAGCCGGAAGTTATGGACTAATAATATTCCTTACTCCAATTTGATTAATGCAATACGTAGTTTACTTACTCGTTATTGGGAAGTTAAGATTTGCCATATTAATAGTGAAGGGTACTAGGTTAGCATATGTCATGGCTAACAAGGGCTTTAAGTTAGAGGAAGTCTTTTTGATTTTTCATTCTCCACTGTTGGAATTAAGGAAATTTTGATATATGACATGTTAGGGATTTGTTTTTCGCGGATGATTCGAATATAAATTTTTATTCTCTTCAAAAAAAAATTCAACAAATAACCAAGCATGGCAAATCCTCGTTAAAATTAATATTTGTTAGCAATTTTGAAAATTTTAAAATTTATTGTTATTATTATTTTAAAATATTCCTCAAAAATAAAAAATAAAAAACCAAAAAGAGATTTGTTTGAAAAAAAAACTGGTGCTAAAAAGAAATAATTTTTATTTTTAAAATTTTATTAAAAATTATAAAGAGGATATAATTTTTATAATTTTAAAAATTATGAGTATAAAAAAGAATATCTTCTATTTTTTTCAAAAATTGTAAGAGTCTGTTTGGCTTAACTTTTTTCTAACTTAAAAGCTATTATGAAGTTTTTATAAAAAATAATAGCTTTTAGAATTAAGTTGAAGTTATTTGGTAAATTTCTTTTTATAAGTTATAATTTTGGTTATATCTTTTTTTGAGAGGGTAATATTACAATTATTTTTAATAGATGAAGATATTTTTGAAATAAAAATAAAAATTCTCTAATATTTAAAAAAAGAAGAAGAAAAAGCTCCTTATAGGAGTTTTTCTTGTAGCTCTGTTTTTTTAAATTTTATTCTTAAAATAAAAGTTACTTTCTTTTGAAGAGTTTTTCAAAATTTATGTTTGATCTGGTTTTTGTTTTTAAAAAGTAAATAAGCTGAAAAAAAAAGCCAAGACAAACAAGCATTAAATATATTTTTTATTTTGTGGATTTTCAAATCTTTTATAATTTTTTAAAAAGAAAAATTACTTCTATTTTTATTATTCTAGAATTTTTTAAACAATTAAAAATTATTTATGGCCTTTAAAATTTTTTTTAGAATTTCTTAAAAAAAATATTTCTATGTTTTTGAAATTTTATAGATTTTTTTTTCAAAAATTTAAAATTGTTTCTCATTTTTTTAATTTTTAGAGTGATAAAAATTAAATTTTAGAATTTTATTGATTGATTTGTCTATTTTCTTGTATGAATTATAAATGTTATACTTGATTATATATATTACTAATATATTTAAATCCATAAAAAAATTATTATATTGATCCACCGTACAAAACTTTCTCTATTATTTGCCAATACTTGAAAATGTTAAATCAAGAAAGATAGATTATGTTAAAAGAGATTTTTTATCATTTTTTCAAATAAAAAAAAAAGAAAAAGTATCAAATCAATATTGTGTAATATGAGATTGCATTCATTTTTTACTGTAATCAAATTACGTTCATTTACGGTAAAATGTGATTTTATTACAATTTTACATTGAATTGATTTATTTTAAAACAGATGATATAATATATATTTAAAATAAACATTATAATATATTTTAATTAGGGACATTATAAAAAAAACTGAAAACACAATACTAGTAAAAAATGCTACTTCTTTCAGGAGCTTCAATGTATTGGATTAAGGTCAATCACGTGCACGGGAAACTTGAAAATCCAAAACCTGATGGCATATAGGTGGCTTGCTCTCTCAGTACAAAGAGCTCCAGTCTGGACAGGGGTTCAAGTCCACAACATTTTAGGATGGCATATATATATATGTCAAAGGCACATGTCCATATCCAATTACACTTTGAAAATTTAGCTTTGAAATTAGTCTTATATGTCTCTGAAATAAGGGTGTCATTTAAAGTAGAACATCAAGCTGTGCTAGTAAAAATCATTTGCAGGATAATCTCAATCCTAATTTTGGGCTTCTTCCAGGATCTTTTCAATAAAAAAATTCCTGAAGAGTTACAAGTGGACAAAAGTACACCAATCATGTGATAAAATGAGGCCAATTTTTGCATAAAAGTACAAGGCAGATGGAGCCACCTAAATATAAACTAGGTAAATTGGAAGAGTTTAATGGCATAGAATTACAATGAATCTTACCTTTGGATATCCACTGCTTATTGTATGTCATCCGGAAACTGGAATCAAATGAAATTAATAATAATAGTCATAAAAATAAAAATCATTTTATTACAAGTTGGGATCAAGTGGATTAATAAAAGATATTTGTACCAGATATTAACACCTAATCCCTTTAATAAAGTTAAGAGAGTAGGTAAGATTGTAGAAATACCAATTTAGTATTGGTATTCTTGCTCGAGTGAACAACACCATGAGAAACAAGGTATGAATGGATCTATTGATTCTGGAATGAATAGATAAAAACCACCTAGCCTAAGAACAACATATCGCAGTCTTCTTGTAGCCATTTAGCGTATGAAGTGCAGTTGGTTCTTTTTCATACTTCATTAATGGTCTTAATTTGAACAGTGAAGCTCATACTTTGCTTGTCTAGTAATGGAATAATAGATTACTATGGATAAACATTCCAACAAATAACATTTACATCAATGTCAAAGATTAAATCTTAACCTTGCAAGAAGATGCATGAACGTTGTACGGTGATTGGGGGAGGGTCCTTTCAAGTAGCAGAGCAACTTTCCCTTGGCCCGAAGCAGATAACAGCTTCACATAGCTTTGCATCTGGTCATCTTTCACCTAAATTCATGATGAAGGTCCCAAATAAAATGACAAGAACCTTTATAGAGTTAGTTGCCTGTGGAGCCCTCCAAGTTATCCAGTTGCAAACAGTTCTGTCTCCAAATATCTTACATGTCCACACCTTTATGCAACCCCCTTTACACCACAGCTGCTGCCTATGGATGCATTTGCACAAGTTGGAAGGTCCCAGGACATAAGATAAAACATAGACAATCTTTTTCATATGTGCCTAGCACCAACTTGGAACTTCTCTTTGAAGGGTCCCCATGTTTGCCTTATTAATGTCAAAGGATAAGATCATCCATTTCCAGCACAGAAACTTTGGGTGAAAACCGTGTGCAAAATCATGCTCTCTCTCCCAGCACTGTGGACAAAACCCAAAACCAACAATAAATTTCAGACGAGTCCCACTCTAGAAAGTAAAGGGTGTCAATTTCCAGGGCCCTTGCCAATGTGGGGAAAACATGAACGTTTTCTTCCCCATATAAATATCTCACTCCCACTTCCAACTTCATCCGCTTTCATAAATCCCTTGTACTCTGAAAAGATGGGCACCATTGAAGAATCAACAACACTTGAGTTCATTCGCCAGCACCTTCTGGGAGACTTTGCCTCCGCTGATGCTTTTATTTCTAGCCTTGATTTTGGTCTCTCTCAACTGCAACCCAGCATCAAACCAGAAAACCCAATTCCAGAACTAGAACATGACTCTCCCATATCCGACCCAAATAACCAAATCCTTGAAATCTTCAGCTGTAACGTAAAACCTGAAGTCATGGATTTGGAGTCTCCGAGTTCAATCATTTCAGGGTCTAATCTGGAGCCAAAGGTGTCACCGTGTGAAGAGAGGAGGCATTACAGAGGGGTCCGGAGAAGACCATGGGGCAAGTTTGCTGCGGAGATCCGAGATCCGAGCAGGAAGGGGAGTCGGGTCTGGTTAGGTACTTTCGAAAGCGATGTGGATGCTGCCAAGGCTTATGATTGTGCAGCATTTAAAATGAGGGGTCACAAAGCAATATTGAACTTTCCACTGGAAGCCGGAGAGGCTGGCCCACCTGCCAGTACGGGCAGGAAAAGGAGAAGAGTGAAGGGAATTAAGCTGCCGGAATGTGACGTCATGTCACCGGAAAGTATTGAGCTGGCTTGGGAGGTGAAGGAAGAAGAGGGTGAGCTTGATTATCAGAACCCAACTGTCACCGTTAACTAGAAGACAAGTTGGATAATGCGAATAAGGATAGGTTGTAATGTAAGGCCGATGATTAATGTCCAAATCACATCGAATATAAATGCACTATGACAAAAAGTTGTATCATATTTGGTTCCTTTGCAAGTTCATTTTGAGTTTGATTATTAGTGATTACCAGGAGTGAAAAATCTTAAATTGGAGTTGTATTCTTTCTTCAATGTTAGAGAAAGAAAGAAACGAACAATTTATAATGTTTTTAGGATGAAAATGTTAATGTAAGAATAAAATAATCAAATCATTTGAATATTTAATTTATTAATTGATATATAATTTTTTTAAATTTTAAAAAAAAAAGACAGTTAAGATTTTGTGGAGAGGAATGTGGCACAATGCTGTTCTTGGTCACTTATCGGCTGTGCTTAATGAGTTTTAGTTTTAGGGAGGACTGGAGTATTGTCCAATGCCATGACAATGAAATCAACAAATGCTAGTCCTACAAGATGATGTCATAATATGCAGGAACTTCAATGCAAATTCATTATAAAATTCTAGATATTTTATGGGCTGAAGTTTGCTTTTGCAAAGACTTAATCAAGCTGGCAAATGGATTTGACCTGAACCCAAGTTTCAAATTTCTACCCTATCAAATATCTGCATGAACATGTCTAATTTCACACAAGGATGTTCATATGTTTGAAAACGAAATTAATAGTATTCCACTATAATAATACTCCAAAGATGTTAGTGGCAAAAGCTCAATACTCTTACAAAGTTTAGAAAAGCAAAAACAATTTCTCAAAGAGTTTATAGCAATTCAAGTTTGAACTAATGGTTGTGATCATGAGTTGAAGTTAGAAGCTAGACTATCCCGTGATATTAGGTTCCCTGTAATTGTGTCCCAAGTGAAGATTATGACCGTTTTCACCTAAACTATATATATATATATATATATACACATTAAAACGTTGACTTAAATGCACAATAAATGGCAAAACATATAAAATAGATTACCTCATTGCTAGATCTTTTCAATGACTGAATGCAAAACTTACCCCAACCCCAAAGCTGGCTTTGACAACGAGGGTGCAGACAAAACCAAGTCAAGCCGGAGCATTTAGCTGAAATGAAAAGCCACCGTTGATGTGGAGAGAGAGCTTGGCCCGCGTCTTCTTGACGTTGGTGCATTCTATAATTTTGAGGGGTACATCGCATACAGCCTTATGATTCCAATCAGAAAGCGATAGAACCCAGCCACCAAGTTGCAGCAAAAGGGGGACCCCTCATGAATCTAGTTGCCAGAGTTTTGTCCCCATATTCAGTACGCCCCTATTCCCAATCCAAGCTACAGCCGACGGTGCATTAACCAGTTGCAAATGATAGACACGGCCAGGCAAGTTGCCAATGACTTTATGCCAAAGACACCACAGATATTACTCTGTCAAACATCATCATCGTCATCCAGCTTTTATTCAGATGATGTCATAAATTTGATTGGTTTCAGTTCCCAAAATATTTCAAAGGTTGTTAACTTGCTGTGTAGAAGATTGGGCTATCCATAATTCAGAATATGCAGTGCCCTCCTGAATTCAAATCATCCCATGAAGCTCCAAGTATTCAGCCGACATGGAAAGCATGCAATCAACAACGATAATTAGCATCGCAAGGGACCAAACCGAGATATTTTAGAGAAGAAACCATGCAATGAGAGGAAGCAATTCTAGTGTGAGATCAATTAATCAATAGCAGATGAATCGATTAATATATTTGAAATATTCTGCGTTGATAAACTTTGAAATTAAAAGAATTCTTGTTCAATATAATTTACAAACATATTGGCAATGGGTCATTATGATAGCAAATGCTTGCGATACAATACAAACCCAAATTGTGAACAAATACGTAAGGACGGAGATAGGAGCTAAATGACGGATAAAGAAGCATGCTGCGGTTGAAGAGATTTTGGCAGAATTATTAGAAGCAATGGATGAAGCTTACAATGACTTGTTTGCATCTGAGCTTATATCCATCAAATTCTAAATAGACGTAATCTTCATGTTGTTGATCAAGTCAATGGTGTCTTTACACACTTTTCCCCCTATTGCTTCATCACAGTTGAGGAAACTTGGTTGATTCGTGGAAGCAAGAAGTCTAGCCCACATCCTATCTGTCAACTTCACTGTGTTTTGAGTCTCAGTAACATGCTGAAACAGGAACACCATACCACGCCATTCAAGGTTAGACATCAAGCCAAATATAGTACGAAAACATGGTAGCTACTAGGCCACAACAACAGCATCTATCTTCATATTTCTGGGCCTTGTAAATTGCAAGGTAGGAACAGAAGTAGTTGAATTTTACTTAAATTAGTTCATGGAAAAACCTTTTAACTTCAAAAAATAAATGCAATTAGAAATCAAGCACAAATCATCAAATTTCAAAATAAAGCTAAAAGCATTAACAGCTCCAAAGCTTACAGAAATTGGAATATAGGCGTGTCTGCTGTTCACAGGTCCAACTGTGAACCCTGTATACCCAGCCATGGCCCCATGCACAGCACTTTGAGCAAGAAGAGTGCAGTAAATGTTGTCTGATGCATTGCTTGGAACAGCTCGTATCATGTATGTTGGATCTGGCAAGTAAAAGATAAACAAATTTAGTTTTACTGCATGGAAAAAACAGATAAAATAGTTCTCATATAGAGGACAGGAAAAAATTGCCCACTAACTTCCACACAATATAAAACACAAGCAAAGGTTCTTAAAAGGCAAAGAAGTCTCGTGTGAAGTTTGGTGTTCATGCAGGTAGATTATTTAAACCAGCTTCTTTGTGACAACCCTTAATGTACAGAAGTTTCGGTAAATGACACCAATAGAAAAACAGGTTTTTACAAGGCTGACATTCATGGTTTCATGAACTGAAATTCATCTAAAAGTTTCATTTCTTACCCTTCCTTTCAGGCAGTACTTTTTGCTAAATGATAAGGCACCATTTAAAGTGCTAAGTACAACTGAACAAACAGAAAAATCTGTGTGAAGTGTTTAAGCACATTGTGCTTATATATCCAGAATTCCACCTTGACAAATTGCAGATCAAAAAGAAATTCTACGACTCTCAGGTGCTTGTCAACAAGTGATAGCAGCACCAAACATCATATTCATAACTTTTTTGCATTATATGGTTTATGCATATCTAAGGATTTTTCTTGTGGTAAAATTAGAACACCCAAAAAAGATTGCACTAGCCACAAGGACAAGGAGGCGGGTGCAAAAGTATTTGTACTTGATGTTTTCTAGCGCATCCTGATGGGATATAACTAGATGCTGGCTAGGATTTATTGCTTTCTAGTAAGAAAAGCAAAACATAAGAAGTATAATCTGTATTGGAACTTACCAATGTATTTCATATTTATTTCCATCTTCCGCTCCTTAGTAAAGTGATCCTGCAACATGAAGTGTATTGTAATATATTAAGGGGAAATGGTAAAAACAAAGGTGAGAAGAACAATGAGAAGGGTTAATTACCAAAAGCCTCTTGGTAACATAGCATCATTTATAGTTTCCTCCAAAATTTAAAAATCATACATTTCACCCATGAGATATCAGGTTAATACATTCGAGACACTTCCATTGGGTATCTCAAGGAGGAAAAGTGTATGTTTTCAAAACAAAAATAGACTACCCCAATAAGAAAACATTCGGCACTCCATAAAAAATTACCAACTCAAACAAGAATGTTAGATGCAATGCATTAAGATATTCTTGTGGTTAATCACTAAGATGCAACACTTTTTTTTTTTTGTCTGATTTTCCTAACCCATGGATCAATGCTTCTATATATAACTTAAAACTTCAACTGCTATATATAATTATATAAAATAGAATTAAACACCAAATGCAAGAAAGGAATATCAATTACAATTGTCAGTTGCCACCACTTCAATGCTTGTTTTCAAGGTCCAAAAACCCCACCTTGATATTTTGAGTTAACCACAGACCAACATCAAGGAGAAGCCTGTTTCCGGATGCATCTTTCTCATCAATTCCATGCATACTCTGCGCAACATATCCCTGCCCAGCCCCTTCTGCAACCACAACAACTATATGCCTGTTCTCTTTTAACCGCTCTTCGATAAACTCAAAGAGCCCACCTTTGCCTTCCAGGTAGAATGGAGATTCTGGAATCAAGCAGCAATCCTGTTACATGTAAAAAATTACAACATTGTCACTCGTATCAGCAAAGCAAACATGAAAATTTTGAACAATATCTTATACTTTATCCTTTACTCAAATGAAATGAACTGAAGGGAGATTGAAATAGAGAAATACCAAGTATTCATAACAAAAAAAAGGCAAGAAAGTACACAGTCATCTAACATTCAGAGGGATTTATCATAAGAATGGGACGAAGTTCTTACCACATCTCGACTTGCCAATGTTGCAAACAGAGCAATGAAACCTGCATGATTAATAGTTAAGAAGTATGGAAGCCACACCACACGCACACACACATTATATGTATTACCTAAATGAATAATAAATAGATGTAAAGAAAGTCACCTATACCATAGATGCTCTATAATGTTCAAGACACTAACCACTGTATCTGCCCATGAGTTTGACAATTCCAATGCCATTTTCCACACTTTCCACCTCCACATGTGCAGCATTAATGGCCCTCTGAGCTTCTTCGACAGCAGTATCGAAACCAAATGATTTGTCGATCACCTGAAACCAGGCAAAAAAATAATTCCTCATTCTAAACCGAAGATTGCCACCTCCAAAGTTGTATATGAAAGAGATGTGCAGGAGGCGACAAAGACGAAGATTGGAGCAGTCCTTGAAGTGCTGAGTGCTTGTGGCGGGAGGTGATGGATAAATTTTAAGAACAAGGCAGAAAAAGTGTAACAATGGAGCAAGGTTGAGAATAAGATGGAAATGGTTGAGTAAAAGAGCTAGTTATCTAGGAAGAGCTTAAAGAGAGTTTGAGAGAGTCACTTAGATAGAGAGTTCATTGCATTTCTCCTCTCCTTAATGAATTGTCAAGCCTTCTATATATAGATCAAGTAGGAGTGGTTACTCAGAAAAGTGCTTAGTGGCCATCATGGTAGGAACACATGCATGATGGGAAGACTACGTCCATTAAGAGAAGAACACCTTCATCATGAGAATAATGCATTAATGGTCTACATATATTGCATGATGGGTGGATAATTTCGATCTAATAACATAATGGAGCTCAATGACATTTCACAATGTGTCACGTGTTTCTTGAGAAGAAGGAAAAGGGGGAAACACTTATACTTCAAGGAAAGGTCAAAAGGACTCCTTAAATACCTCCATATTTGAGGCACCAAGTCAAGCTCTCCAGAACATCCCAAAGGTGAAACTAACCCATGAACCTTGCCACTTGTTCCAGGTTACTTTCACTGTTGTCAACGTGATAACTTTGTTCTAGTTGTTCTCATTGCTTATGTATAGCATCA